GCTGGTGGATCGGAGCGGGGAATCCAGCCCCTCCCCTGCCACGGCAGAGAGCCGTGACAGGATCGAGAAGTGAGCGAACACCGGCATGTGTTTGCTCACCTCCCGATCTACTGAGCCGACCTGTGACAGTCTCATTGTCACAGGTCGGCTAGAACTATGAGGTGAGTGAAAAGCACTCACCTCATAGTTCCCCTTTAACCTTCTCCATTTCTCCTGTTGACCATTGTAGCTACAAGTCTGCTGAGCGCATTCTAAAAGAGCGCCCTCCTGCAACCTGTACATAGAGCTCTGCCGAGTGCATTCTATAAGAGCGCCCTCCTGCAACCTGTACATAGAGCTCTACTGAGTGCATTCTATAAGAGCGCCCTCCTGCATTCTATAAGAGCGCCCTCCTGCAACCTGTACATAGAGCTCTGCCAAGTGCATTCTATAAGAGCGCCCTCCTGCAACTTGTACATAGAGCTCTACTGAGTGCATTCTATAAGAGCGCCCTCCTGCATTCTATAAGAGCGCCCTCCTGCAACCTATGTACAGGTTGCAGGAGCTATGCTGAGCGCATTCTATAAGAGCACCCTCCTGCAACCTGTACATAGAGCTCTGCCAAGTGCATTCTATAAAAACGCCCTCCTGTAATCTGTACATAGAGCTCTACTGAGTGCATTCTATAAGAGCGCCCTCCTGTAATCTGTACATAGAGCTCTGCTGGGTGCAGTCTATAAGAGTGTCCTCCCGCTATCTGTGCTGAGTACACTGGATAAAAAGACATTCTCCTCAGGGGCTTCCCAGGATAACATGTGTACCACAGCAGATGGACAGTCAACACATACAATGAATGGGAACATACCACACATATATAGAACCCTACAAGGAGCAATGTCAATCCATAAGACACTGACAGTTCAATGAGATAGAGGCTCCATACCAATACAAAACACACTGACGGTATAATGAGGTAAATGCTCCATACCGGCTCCCCCAGACGATGCCAGCACGGCAGCTCCCACCTCAACCCGGAACCATCATAGCTTCAGAGCACTCAGCTGTCCGCGCACTGTACTGACGTCACGGAAAGCGGCCGCTCCTCAGGAACGGCGGTCATGTGATGCGGGTTGCTAGGATACCGAGGCCGAATGCTGGCCGAGCAACCCACAGTGCTTACTTATAAGGCGGGGTGGCGTGGTGGAGGGCGCTCCATTTTTACCTCAGAGTGAGTTTTTAGAGAGGGGCCATCAATAGAGTTCAGCTGTATAATAAAATCCACTACTATATATATATATTATTGTTAGTTTTAGAGAAGGGCTGATGTGAGAAATAAATAATCATTATAATATCTAATATGTATTATTATCATGGTCAGTGGAGTCAGGCGCATCTGTAGAGTCAAGATGTGGGGAAGAAATAAAAAAAAAAACTGATATGTGACATGGTTATCACAAATGTCCACCAAGGCAGCATTCCTACACCATACAGCTGCCAATTCTTGTAATAACCAACAATCAATATGGCAGTGCCACCGCCAGAAGCAAATCTGCAGAGACACAATCAGTACCACAGTGACAATGCCAGAAGAAGTCACTTGGTGACGAGGGAGCATGGAGCCAGCTTCCCGGCTTCCTTCCCGTCATTTGACGCCGCCCGGCTTCCTTAATGGGACTTCTGGTATCGGTATTCGGTATCGGCGAGTACTGGGGAAAAAAATATCAGTACTCATGCTGGATAACGAAAAACCGGTATAGGTTCATCTGTACTAACTTGTATTGGGATTGTAGCCCGTCACGGGAGCTTTGTGTGGCACAATGTGTATATGATTGCATATCTGTTTATGTGACATTTATGGGCCAGTGGTGTAGCAATCGCCATAGCGGGCGCTATGAGGCACAGGGGGACCCGGCCAGATGCCGTGCGGGCCGCCTGGGTCGCTATGGCATCCTATGCTGGTGGCTTTCACTGGCGGCTGTGAGAAGAATGCGCTGCTGTTTAGATCACTGACAGTGATCTGTGCAGCAGCGCGTTCTTCTCACAGCCACTGCGGAGTTAATGAGAGCCAGCAGCGGCCGTGTAGCAGGCTGGACCCGGAAGTGGAGTAGGCGGGGCCCGGTGATGGAGAAAGAGGCGGGGCCCATCAGCGATTGTACAGGGAGGTGGCGGACAGGCAGGGCAGCCATCAGGGGGGTACGGCCGATACTCATGTAAGGGGCCCGGGCAGCCTGGGGGGCCCACCCAGGTCCCTTACATGACTATCGGCCGACGGTGAAGGGCGAGGAGGCCTGGCCCTAGCAGCGCAGGGCCCCAGCATTGCCGCTCCAGCGGCTTTGAGACAAGCTAGGGCCCCATCAGCGACGCTGATCGTCTGATGTTGTACTGGCCGGAATTGACCTCCCTTCTGGCCGGGCCGGCG